AACACAGTGAACGCCAACTCGTGTATAGACTGTACACCAAAACCACTGCAATATTATACCAATTATTGACCGCTTTCTCAGAGCTCACAAAGACTGCACTCAACACTCACTCAATGCTATATACAGTATACAGGGATATGGGATATACAGGCCGTACACTCACTCACACTCTCTGCACACTCCGTACACTATACACACTATTCTATACAACCCTATACTCTGTCTATAGATTTATATAAATTTGCATTCATTGCAATCATGGCGTTCATCAGTCTATCAATTATTATACACTAGAGCTCTTCACAGGTCCCAAACTATTCCCTATGCATTTGCAACAGTATTAACATTATTCACACACCGAATACAGTGTAAGCCCGTTATAATATACACGTCGAGTAGCATTACTTAACTTTACCATTATCAATTATTGCTCCCGTTTTACTTGTATTAACAACATTTTATTGGTACTTGGTACTAACAAAGTATTGGTACTATGAGTAGAAAGCACCTAGCTTAAATAAGCACCAGGCTTATCAGAACTTTATAATTAATTTAATTAGATTTATTTAAATAATGTTATATAACGTAATCCAATCAAATACCCGTATAATCACAGACTATTGTATATAATAATCATAAAAACTTTACATTTCCATTAAAATTAATAATTTTATTTTATTTCAATTTCATTACACAATAATTTGCATTATTTTTCAAAAAAAAAGTTAAAGAATAATCAATATATTATACTTTATGATGTATAGGAACTGTGTATTGATAGTACAAACATTTGTTAATTTCCTTATTATTCTCGTTTGTAATAATTATTCAAAAGTTTAAATATTAATAACAAGTTTTGAGAAATTAATAAAGTTTTTTAATTTAGTTATCGATTGTAAGCGTAATGCAAGTGAATTCCACAAAACAGGCCAAAGTTGTATTCCAGTCGCCATAAGAGGAGGCCTTTCCCACCAAAACACTGTAGAATATGAAGTCTCCTAAACCCAGTTTCACTCCTCTCTCGTCTTCCATGGCTTCTGAATTCAATATTTGTGTCGACGACTCGTTTCCAATAGCAATGGGTCCTCTCGGGTCCGTAAACCTCACTTCGGGCAACGCTTGTGTCGGCGAGTTATCCCCTCTTTGATGATTGGTGTCATCGGCGTTGTCGTCAACGGCTGCGCCCACATAGTAGGCCACCGCTGATGAGTAGATAAGGGCCGGGAATATCGTTTCATTCCTTTCCTGTGCCGTCTCTACCAATATTCTTAGCGGACCGTTAGGACAGAGAACAGCCACGAGATCCCAGACAGAGATCACTCCGAGCACTACCCAAGTGGTCCAATCGGGGAGGAATTTAATGAACACGAGTGCCATTAGGGCTGATATTAGGATGAGATATGTCTGTTGGAGGAGAAGCGGTCCCTTCCAGTGAATGCAAACCATTCCCACGACACCAAAGTTCCACATGAAGAGCGCAACTGTTATGTAATCCATGGCTATATTATAGGCTCTCAACACTTCTCCCATATATATGAATGTAAACAAGAATAACAGCATTAATGATGAGATTATTAGCCACGAGTGGATCACTCGATAGCATCGGAACTTATATAACACTATCAATACAATAGTCATCACAACGATTACTCCCATCAAAATGAAAGCGTTGGCGAATGATTGCCACACTTTGGTCGTCGTGTCCACCGTTTGGTCCGTGAATGGCGTGTAAACCATATATACATTGGTTGACGAGTAGAAGGATATGGAGTTCATCGTAAAGACCACACAAAACATACAGATACTGACGGGAATGAATAGCTTTATCACATGTTTCGCGCCGTACTTCAGCTCTTCCTCCTCTTCCATCTGAGTGTCGGGCGTATGGCTGCCGCCGACCGACGAGCGCTCCCAACAGTTGTCATCGCCGGTGTCATCCGTGCGGACCAGTCGTTGCGGACTCTGACCGGACATTGACGTGAACTCCGAGTCGGCCACACGTCGAGTGCCGCCGGATTGGCTTTGGTTGCCATTCCTCCACTGTTTGGATCTATTGGGACCCCTATTGGACACCAAATCATCACTGGCTTCATCTCTGGAGACGGGAATGTGTGACATCTCAACCGTTTGCACCTAATTATCACATAACATACCATTCAATACAATCCAGTCATACATTACTGTCAACTCTCATATCATACCAACTCTTCCATACAATCACTTGTCTTCAAATCCAAACCAATCGATTGAGTGGTCACTTGAGTGGACACAAGTCTCACAACAATTTAGTGACAAATTAAGTGAAATTTTTGTTCAATGAATGCAAACATCAAAACATTTACACTTTGAAGGAGTGGTTGGAAAACAAGTGCCGCACAAACAATACGTCCCAAACAATACGTGCCATCATTTGACAATCGGTTCCCAATCCACTCTTCAGACCACTCTTGCAATTACTGTATTATAATATGTGACATATTATTAATATTATCATGTCTTAACTGATTCGTTGATGGCAGACATTAGTTGACACAATTGATAAATCATACAAAAGTCTTTTAAAACCTTTGACAGTTTGTTTGGTTTACAGAATCCATACTAAATATGATCGATAACTGTATTCAGTGAATACTATTCACTAAATTATATCAATTCATTAAAATTTAATTAGAATTTATTTTGCATTGATTTGAATGCAATCATATTTATTAATTATAAAATCGATTTATAATTTTCTTTATTTGTAATACGAGCTAAAAGTTGAGAAAATTAAATGAAAAATATATAAATTAAATATAAATGTTTATCTCAGAAGTCTTCGTTTGTGAGCTCTGAGACTAACTGCTCTTCAGTGTTGGGAGAAAACATGGTTTGTCCCGAACGGGAGCCTAATTTTAAAGCCTTAGAAGTGCCCTAAAATTCAAACACAATTCAATAAATGGCAATCAATAGTGGGATTAAATCAATGCAAACCTTTGGCCTCATGTTAGAGGCCATCGGAGCTGATGTGCGCTCAGGAATATTAGTCTCCGCTTTCACTTCACTTAAAGCATTATTAATCGACATATTATTCATCGAACCGGTCATCGATTTGAGTCTTTCGTTTTGCTGTGTTTTCTGCAATTTACTCAACTCTTTGGCCTTTTCTCGCATTTTCTGTTTGGCCTCCCGTTCCTGTGTCTGTCGCACCGCCACAAACACTCTCTCCTCGTGTGAATCCATTTCGATAAAAGTCCTCACTTGAGACATATTAACGCTCTCTCGATATCCTATCGCAACGAATACACATCAATACTCCACTCAATGGCACAGACGTGCAGAGCATACCTAACGCCACGATTTCATCGAAAGCAAAGATCAAAGTGAAGGCATTTTCACTGATCGCCAGTTCATCCGACGACCCTTTTGTCTGCGAAGACGTGTATTCGTTGATTACTCGCACAAACAGTCTATTCACACAAATGGCAAACAATTCAATAAAACTATTCACTAGTTATGAATGCATTGAAAAAATTACCTCAAAGTTTCCAAATCTTCCAAAATGTTTGATGTCTTAGTAGTGATGAGAACACAATACAGTTTATCCATAAGAGCCTGATATACATATCGCACCTGTAATTAAACGGCAATTTAGTAATCAATTTAGTGGTGGTATCGCCAGACGTGTGTGTGATGTCTGTCCGAGTGATACATACAGTGTCGGTCTCGATGAAGGTGTGCTGTTTGTCTTTCGTGATTAGTTTAGTGAATGCGGTCAACAGTCCTATCAATGAAAGCAATTGTTAATTAATAATTAGTGATTGAATGGTGTGAATGGCGTGAATGCCTTCAATCCTAGATCTGGTCATTTCGACGAATTGTCGCGAAAGAAGTATTTTTCCGTTCACTTTAGAGACAACACCGGAAGCCAACAGCACCTGAAGAAGCGATCGTCAGTTCAATTCAATATAATTTAATTGTCATTAAATGGTAAACAAACCATAATTGAAAGATTGGTCGAAAGCCACGTCAGCCAAGAGTTGGTCCCAAATTGAGTGGTAAATAAATTATATTCAATTCAATCGATGGATCTAATGGTCAATTGAATGGTATATTATTAGCTATTAATTTACTAAACAATTAATTAATCGCTAAATAATGAAAACAATTAAAGTATTGTTAAAGAAATGCCAATGTTTTCAATACGAGTACACGTTTGTAGCGATAGGGATGTGAGCCGTGCTTTCCCTTCACATTCACTTGCATTACGCTTACAATCGATAACTAAATTAAAAAACTTTATTAATTTCTCAAAACTTGTTATTAATATTTAAACTTTTGAATAATTATTACAAACGAGAATAATAAGGAAATTAACAAA